GTGCTTGCCAGCCACTGAAAGCTTCTGCTCCTTTTCTTTGTTACTAGCTATCCCATGACAGTCTAGCTATGCCAATTCTTCTAGTGTTCTGGATGAAGCAAGGCAAAAGTGTGCCTTTCAGGCAGCACATCAAAATAGTGTGAAACTTAAACACTAACCTCAGTCTCTCTTTTCCTCACTGGAGAAACTGCAGGTCAAGGGGACCCTTCTTACCCTGTTTTTGTGCTGGCTTGGGGAAGGAGTAACAAAGATAATGTGAAAATGTTCTTTTTATCTCTCATGGTTCTTTTTCTCATATTTTGTGCTCTGCCAGTTAGTGACTCTGTGGGAGGCCTAGGGCTGAGAACCTCCTATTCTGCCATCTTCCTGATATCACTCCTCTATCTGTACTTTTTGTGTATCTCTTTGTAAAGCTATCTTAGTGGTTGCTCTAGATATACATATCATAGTCAACTAATGTCACAATCAACTAAAGTCACCAATTCACCAGATCAAGTATAGAAACCTCACCTCCCTTAACATCCCTTTACACTCCTGTTTATAATTTTCTTACGTATTTCTTCTACAAATATTTAGAACCACTTCTATTTGGAACTACATCAGATAGTGTTATGGTTTTTGCTGCAAGTATTAAAAGTTACTTAGAAAACTCAAAAGCAAGAAAGTGTATTTAATTTCCCCATCTTTCTGGAAGTGGAAGCTCTGTGTGCTTATTTTTAAACAACATCATTTGTTGAGATAAAAATGTATTGCTCTCCATCTGCTGAAATATATGCTATCAATTTATTCTTATATTTATAAAAGTATTTATGGCATAGGTTTTTGAACAATATGTTTTGTTTGTCTGTTCGTTTATTGGCAGCTGGCCAGTGCATGGATCTGAACCTGTGACCTTGGTGTTACCAGTTCCACATGCTCCCAAGTGAGCTAACTGGCCAGCCTCTCCATTTTGCACATTAACATTCAGAACTAAAAAGTCTTTATTATGGTTGTTTCATTTTATATCAATTGAAAGAGATCCTATTTATGCCATTTAAGGCTTTGTGTGCTGAATTCTATATTGTTTGAGACTAATGTTAAGTCCTTTGCTTTATTCTTCTCAATATATATTTGCTTGGCATTTTACATTTTTCTGCATTACTTTTGGTTTTGGACTTGATCTTGCTAATAAACATCTTGATTTTGGCTTTTATATTTACTTATAATAAATTTACAATTTATTCATATTTATTTATAATTCTGCTCACATCCACAAATGTAAACATGCAGTAATTTTTATAAAGACTTACTTTCAACTCTTTGTCTTTTTTATATTTCATATGCACAATATTTTTATCTTCTCTATTTTTTGAAAGCAAAAACAGTTAAAATTTTGCAAACATTATCAAATCTATATTACTCTATTATATATTTTTTTATATATTTATTTGGTAATTATATATACTATACATATGCATTTTTATATTTCTTTTGAAAATCACATTTGAAATAAGAAAAAATATTGCTAAATGCTTGAACTAAAAATCTCTTCCTTAAAGAAGCAATATTATACTACAGTATCAATTTTATTTTTCACTATGTAACAGAAATGTTAGCTGCCTTTCAACAGTTTATCTTGCTTTCTTCCTTACTAATAAAGTGCTGGTTTTGTTTAAGAAGTAAACGTGTCCACTTAAAAATACTCCTACCAGATTCCTTTGCACCTAGTGGTAGTCATGTGAGCCACTTCTAGAAGTATTATTTTCCTAATACAATATGGACAGTCTCAGATGGCATATGCTTTTTGTTCTCACCAATCCCCTCCTTCCTATCCAAAGCCCAAGCTTGAAAGTGAAGAATCTCATTGCTTATGGGGGGAAATGTCTACTTGCTGAGGATGGCAGAGGAGGAAGCTAGAATAAATCTTGGTCCTTCAAGATTTCCCTGAGCAACTACGCAAAAGAACTACCTATTTCTGAACTTTCTGTTACATGATAAAAATAAAATCCTTATTTAGTTGGCTTCCCATTACATGTAGACAAAATGAAATCCCAGCTGATAACACTGGCTCCTTTCCCAGATCACTCCGATCTTAAAAAAATTACATGCATATAATGATAAATATATAAATGTATATTCCTCCATTATATGCTTTTAGATAACTAAGCACTTCATATTCCTAAAGTTACTTTGATTTCATATAGTAAAAAAGATCCCATGTTTCCCACTCTTTTTTCAAAATATAGATATTGTCCAACTAGATTCTCCCCCCAAAAAAGGTCTATAAATCATTTTATGTCAGAATTAAGGATAAACAAGATCTTTCTGGATATCTTTACTGTGTAATAGACCACAAGCTCTAATTGCACTACTAAATTTATTTCTTTTAGAATAAACATATATTTTTTTAATTTCTACATCCAAGTTCTAACAAAAGGATGATAAAACTTACAGACATTAATTGCATGAACTCTTATAAGGTTCCTTATTATTTTCTGTTTGCATAATGTTCTTATACTCTTTAATAAGTGCAATGAAATGTCCTGGAAAATATATTTCAAATATTACTAAATGAATATCTATCCCCAAAGATTTGCATGTACTCCTTATCAAGAGTTTGTTCGTATTGCCTCTGTCCAAATTTTTTTCAGAAAAGGTTCTATACTTGGCAATCACATATTAACCCATTATAATTTCATGTTGAGCACCAGCAAACTATTGAAATTCCAAAGCATCGAAAAGCCTTTCAATATATCTTTGTCTCAATGCTAATTTTCTTTTACTCTTAAAAACATTTTATAATCACTCTTTTCTATTAACCCAAATGATAATAATATCCATGTCTCTGTTTTCCTCCTAACTCCTGGGATCAATTCTCCATTCAACTAATTGTTTCCACTGCTTTCTACCCACAAAATAAGTCTGTACCCCAAGGCTCTGTCCTTAGTTCTCAACCTGTATTAATCCTTCTATATTTCGAGAGAACTTGGCTTCAACTATGACCTCAAGCAAAAAACTACTGGGTATACACCTCAAGCCCAGAACACTCTTTCTGAATTTTAGTTAACTTCCAATGCCTAGTTGATATCTCTCCATCAATAATCATGGCCAAATTCATCTTTCTACCAAAACCCTTTAAACATTGACATTTCTGTTAAAGTAAGTTTTTGTCCCAGTTACCCAGGTTCAAAACAATAAAGAAATATTTCCTCACTTACTCTTCTTCTCCCACATTCAATCAGTTAGAAAAATCTAGTCAAATCTTTATACTGTCTGTGATTTGTGATACAATAATGATTGTAGGGCTGTGAAACTAAGAATTTTTGAAATCCCAGCTTCATAATTCACTGGCTGCCTAATACTGAATAAGATCCTAAACCTCATTAAGCCTCATTTTCTTTTGTGAAATAAGAGTAATACCTTTCCACATCAAAGGCACTGATGAAGAGTAAATAAGATACTTATCAGGAAGGCCTTCCCCATCTCCCCTCGCTAATGTAGCCCAAATTTCCACCCCTTTCTTTTTATGCTAGTGCCTTAATTTCCTTTCTTTGGCAATTAACACAATCTGACATTCTATGGTTGTTTTGTTTTGTTTTGTTTTTGTTTTTTCAGCTTTAGTTTCTTTTCAGTGCCTTTACACTGGAGTTAACCAGTACAGAAACTGTGTCAGTACTGTTCACCACTGAATCTCCATGGCCCAGAATAATCCCTTTTACAGATTAGGTACGCAGTATGTATCTGGTAAAGGAACAAAGGAGTAAAATATACGAAGTGACTAACACATTGGCTTTCACTGAGTGTCTGTCCTCTACGTTGCCTTTTTTCTTCTTTGCCACTGCTGTCCGCCTTTTTCAACCCTAAACACATCATTTCTGGCCCACAATAATTGATCTCCCTGCCCTAATCTGTCTTTTGCCTCCCATTAATCTGCTACCAAAACATTGGATTAATCACCTTTTAAAAAAATTTGTCAATACCATTTATGCATAGAGGACCTACTATAAAAGAACCACTCTTAATTTTCCTACTCGAATAACTTCAATTGATCTTTATTGTATTCATTCAGAAGTCTAAACTCCTTGGTATGTCATCCAAGTTCCTTCTTAATACCCACTCCCAGCCTCTCATTACTTTTTAAAATGAATCTCAGTCTTTTTCATTGTTCTTAGAGAAGTCATGCATATTCCCACCTTAGATTACACTGTACCACACAACTGGAATAACTAAATGGTATTCTCCTTTTAGGGTCCAGGTTAACATGCCAGATTTGAATACTGCTCATTTTCTTAATTTGTAAACTATTACTACAAAATTGTTACCAAATTTAAGTTTTTTAACTATTAAAAAATCATTAATATGCTCATAATTTTGTAAGGAATTGTATGCAGTAATAAAGTCTTCCAACTTCATAATTTTCAGCCTTTCCATGCATAATCACTGTACAATGCTTACAGACCCTTTCAGATGTGATCACTGTCCAAAATAATTTTCTGGGCCAGCCACGTGGCTCACTGGGGAGAGTATGGTGCTGATAGCGCTGAGGCCGCGGGTTTGGATCCTATATAGGGATGGCCAGTGCGCTCACTGGCTGAGCGTGGTGCAAACAACACCTAGCCAAGGGTTACGATCCCCTTACCGGTCAAAAAAACAAAGAAAAAATAAAAAATTTTCTATTGTTCCTCAAATTTCCTATACATATGTATGTGAATTTATGTAAATTTAGAACACACTATAAACACTGTTCTGCAACAGATTTCTTACACACTATAACTTGTAATGGAATCACTCATATACCAAAACCTGAATAAATTAGAGATATACTTTCAAATAAAAAAATTAAAATGTAGCTCTTTACAATTTGATCATTTTAGGCTCAACATTTTTTATGCAGTATTCATACAAGCTTTTATAAATTTTCAGATATAAAGCCATTATTAATATACTCAATTATGATATTTTATATAGTTGATGTAAAAAATATTAAATAGTTCATATAATTTAGGCATAGAACTCAAAATCTAAAATTCCTTAAATGAAACTCTAATAAAGCCAATTACCTTTTTCAAAGCTGGACAAAAATTAAACAAAAGCCGGTAGCTACATGTTTTGAATCTTTCAGGAAGTTGCCAGTTCTGAATTATTTCTTCATCAGAAATCACATGATGATCCAGTGCTTTGAGAGACCATACACTGTTAACAACAACATGTCTATATCCTTTTTTAAGGCTTACTGGACAATCAAACATAGTGAGGGCAATAAGGTTTGGACAGGCAGACAATACACACACATTTTTTAACTTTGCAAACCCATTGTCATGAAGATAGAGGAGTTTTAGGTTCTTCAATCCACTCCAAAATTTGGTATCTGGCAGACTTTTTATCTGAAATAGTATTAAAAATATTTTAAGTTCAAATATTACTCTTTATAAATTGCATAGAAAATGGTAAAATATTACATGTCTTCTAAAATGCAGTATGGCAAGTTTCTAATTAATAAGCAAAAAGAGTATTTATATTAAGACAAAGAATGACTAGGGGAAAACATAATACAGTGGGCATCTGGAATAAGCTATCATTATTAGTGTAGTTAAATGCAACAACATATATTTTGTTCAGTGAAAATTCCTTTGTAATATAGGCTGACTCATTAAACTTTGCTAAAACACTTTTCTTACATAAAGAATCAAGGAATCAAGAAGTATTCTTAATCCAGACTATGGATTTAAGTAAAATATACCAAATCACACACTTTATGTATTTCTATTTTTATTTAAAAATGTTTGCTTACATTTTTAAATTTGTGTTTATATACATTTTATATTTTTAAATTTATTTTTAATTTATTTAATGTATTTATTTTAATATTTTAGGTAAAAGACTATCTGGGAAAAATTGTGCATGTACAACATAAGTGCTTATTTTATATTAATTCATTTATGTGCAAAAATCCGAAATGGCTATTGCTTACCTGATTTCCATGGAGATCAAGTTTGATTAATTTCGTACAACTTTGAAGTGGATGAATATCTGTAATAAAATTGTTTGAGAAGATGCATACTCTAAGAGAGATACATGATTGCAAATTTTCGATAGATTTTAAATGAAGGCCATTGAACTTCACAAAAACAAAATCTTTCTGGTCTTTTATGATGTTTTCATTATAGTGACTCCATTCTTTGTGACTAGTTAGTTCTTCTGTAATTGTTCCATGAAACATCTAGGAAAGATGGAAAATGTCTTTCAAAAATTTTTTCAACTTTCAAAACTCTGTCTGAAAACAAAAAATACATGTGCTAAGAGATAGTGAAAATAAAAGTGGGCAGAAAAGTTAAAATTTTTTTAAAAATCTAATTCACACAGAACCTTCTATCCCAAAGAAGATAAATATCTAATATGTATATAAATACTACTCAAAAAGGTATCACTGCCCTCAGCAATGAACTAACCAGTAAGAGGAAGAAAAACTTCCTTTTCATAGACTGCTTAAAGAACATGGAATTCAGTAAAATAGCTGAGATAAAAACATCACTTCTGGACAACTACCAACAAACAAGCAAAACTATACTTTAGCATAGCTGGTATAATAATTTTGATTAAAAAATACTGTGAATAAATAAATGCATTGAATAACGAACATATCAGGAGACTGACAATCTCCATAACAGAGGATGAAAAATGCAGCCTGATGAAATAAAGGTGCAATATAGGTCTTCAGCTACTATCAACAGTTTTCTTAGAGAGACAATTTGTCATCACATTATTTATCCCTATATTCAATTCAATTAGGCAATCAGAATCCTGAATTCTAATAGCTTTAAACTTTGACTAATTCACCTAAAACTTTTGGATCAAAGCTTTTAAATATAATTTTATATGGTATTTCTGACATATATATGAAATTTCCCTTACTATGGTTAATTTTAAGCTTCATAAAAGGTAATCAGTCAGTGATTACTTGAGAAGCAAATGTATGAGCTGTAAGATTAACCACCCTCCCATTGGAAAAATCAATTTCTACCACATGCAGGTAAACTAAATCAGCATCATTAAAATGAGAGTAAATGTGAAAATCCAAATAAACTCTTATGCTCTTTCAAGACACTGACTACTCTTTACACCCTGGCCAAGGCCTAAAACTACAGTCCTCGAACTTTTAAGTATCACCTAAGGAATTAATTAAAAGTCAGATTCCTGGGCTCCATTTCATATCTACTGTATCAGAATCTCTGAGCTAAAGGGCCAGGAATCTATAATTTAACAGGCAACTCACGAACACCTTGAGAATGATTGGTCTAAAGTTACAAGAAAACCAGTCTTTCAAATGTAAAAAGCCAGATACAGAATAAATAGATATGAATAAACCCTTACAAACTCATCAAGCTCTATAGGTCCTGGAATATAGGGCAATTTCCACATTGCATCCTGTCACTTGAATGGACTCCCTTAATAGAAAAGACCCTAAGAAATCTTTCCTCATGAAAAGCTCTCCTTTACAAAGACCTACATTTCCATTTTGGCCTAAAGATAGGTTAACTTCAGAACAGTTTATAACATGGCTTTATGAGCAACCATACCTAGGACAAATCGGGATGTTTAAAGACAAACAATGGGATGCTCAAAACTTTTAGCTATGGAATCTGTTTTGTTAAAGCCAATAACTATTATTCAAGAATGTGCAAAATGAAAGTCATACACCAAAGAAATGTGTCATTTCTTTATGATCATGTAGGGGTTTTTTTAATTAATAGACTTTTTTTTTTTTAGCAGTTTTAGGTTAACAGAAAAACAGTGCAAAGTACAGAGCTTCCATATTCTCCTCATGCTCTCTCCAACCCCCTCAGTCCTCCTTCTATTATTAATATCTTGCATTATTGTGGTACATTTGTTACAAGTGATGAAGCAGTTTTAGGTTAACAGAAAAACAGTGCAAAGTACAGAGCTTCCATATTCTCCTCATGCTCTCTCCAACCCACTCAGTCCTCCTTCTATTATTAATATCTTGCATTATTGTGGTACATTTGTTACAAGTGATGAACCAATAGTAGTATGTCATTATTCACTAAAGTTTAGACTTTACATTAGGGTTCATTCTTTGTGCTGTACATTCTATAGGTTTTGACAAATGTATAATGACATATGTCCATAATTATTCTATCATGCAGAATCATTACTGCATTATGCCCTAAAAGTCCCATGCTTCACCTATTCCCTCTCTCTCCCTCCTCCCAAGCCCCCAACCACCACTAATTTTTTTACTCTCATAGTTTTTTTGTCTTTTCCATAATTTCATATAGTTGGAAATCTTTTCATATTGGTTTCTTTCACTTAATAATATGCATTTAAGATTCCTCCATGTCTTCAAAAAAACCACATTTCTTAAAGCAATGAATAATACTCCACTGTACGGATGTACCACAGTCTATCCATTCACCTATCAGAGATATTCTGGCTACTTCCAAGTTTGGACAATTATAAATACAGCTACTATAAACATTTGTGTGCAGATGTTTGTGTGGACATAAGTTTTCAATTCTTTTTGGTAAAAACCAAGGAGCTAACTTGCTGGATCATATGGTAAGAATTTGTTTCATTTTGTAAGAAACTGCCACTGGCTATTCCATTTTGTACTTCCAAAACAAATAATTGAAAGGTCCTATTTCTCCATATTTTCAACAGCGTTTGGGGTTGTCAGGGTTTCAGATTTTGGCCATTCTAATAGGTGTGTGGTGGTATCTCATTGTTTTCATTTGCAATTCCCTAATGACACACTGTTGAGCATCTTTTCATATACTTATCTACTATCTGTGTATCTTCTTTGATAAGGTGACTATTCAAATCTTTTGTCTATTTTTTTTGGGGGGTCTTCTTATTCTTAAAGTTTAAGAGTTCCTTGTATTAATTTGGATACAGGTTTTTTATTGGATAGGTGTTTTACAAGTATTTTTCCTACTGTGTGGCTTGTCTTTTCATTTTCTTAATTTTCCTTTTTTAGCTCATAAACTCATAACAAAACCTTTGGAAAACCAACAATTATCAATTTGAAACATCAGAGATCCCATTTATTCACATAAATCTGAAGGTGACTTTACACTTTTCATCACTCCATCAATACACACATTTTTTTATATACACACCAAATTATATAGATGTATACATACAACTATATATAGCTATATAACTACATACATAAAATCTTTTATTCCAAAGCATTTATCTCTCACACTGATTATTGCATTTATAATAGTCTGTTTTGAAATTTCTTTGTAGAAGATATAATCTTCTTGGCATTTATTTTTCAAGGATTGAAAACAGTGCTATTAACTAAGTACAGTTATTAATGATTGTAGGCTCATCACTCAACAATAAAATTTTTATTTAAAATTTTCTGCATTAATGCTGTCTATATGTCATCTGAATATGTCAATGATCTACTACTGGTATTATTTAAAAGTGGAATGTTTTTTCTATTTTCTTTATTGAGTTCAGATATGCTAAATAATTTTACAAAATGAGAGGTTCTGTAAACTTTAGCTATCATGTGAATAACCTTCTTAGTGGCTTTGTGAAATTAACTAATACTGGTATAACCATTCTCACAAAATAACATTGTTCCCCCCCAAAAAAAAAATTCTTAAATATGTTCAAACTTCTTTTCTACATGGTAAGAAAATTAGTTTGATTGATACTCTTGCCTCCCCTGCAATCTTCTTGCACATAAGATGTATACTCTGAGGAAGAAAAAAATTATTGGGTTGCACAAACCAATTTAAGATAATCTTCATGATATCACTTAATTCAATGCTTTTCTTTCCATTTTGTACAACTAATTACTTTTTGGCTTTAATCAAAAAGATGTCTAGTATAAGCAAAAGAAATAATCTATAAAAATTAAATACTAGGGTGATTTAGCAGACTTTCAGCTTTCATGGCTTCAAAAATTTAATAAAATCAAAAAACACACTGTTTTATAATTCTTAAAAATATTTTATAGCAAATCCCATAAGAAAAATTTCAATTAACTGAAATAATCTATAAAAATTAAATACTAGGGTGATTTAGCAGACTTTCAGCTTTCATGGCTTCAAAAATTTAATAAAATCAAAAAACATACTGTTTTATAATTCTTAAAAATATTTTATAGCAAATCCCATAAGAAAAATTTCAATTAACTATGTTGTAAAGAAAATAGGCAGTACTAAAATATTAATATTTGATAGTTAAAATTTAAATAATTAACAGCATTGGCTTCTTATTTAATAAAATGTTCTAAATTGTGCTATCTCAGGATGTCACGCTTCTCTCTCTTCGTGCAACCTTCTTTGGCAACTCACTGCCTGGCTGACTCTTAGTGATTATTTAGTTTTCTGTTCTATGCCCACATCTCCAATTTAGTGACAACATATATTTTTGTATTATTATTTAATGGTCCTCTTTCCCACTAAATTATGTACCCTTGAGAATAGGAAATGTGTTGTATGTTTAGCTATATTTTTTTCAAATATTAGCATGGACTGATATCAGATTTCAATAAATATAAGAACTGAGTCAGATTTCAATAAATATTTGTTTCATAGATGTATCTTTCTATCTTTCCTTTTCCTTAGAAAAATAGCAAATTTGGGGGAGAAACTTTTAAAAGATTTCTAAGTACAAATGACAAAGTCTCTCCCATTTAGGCAGAAATCTGTTGTTAATTCCTTCATTTTGAATTCTCCTCAACTAATACTCACCCTTACAAAAAAAAGAATGTATTTTTTTTTCAGTTATTTATACAGTGTAACAAATCACTCCAAAACCTATTGGCTTAAAACCACCACCATTTTATTATCTCTGAAGATTCTGGGGGTTGACTCAGTTAAAGTGGGCAGTTCTTCTCTCACTGATGTTGGCTGAAGCTTCAGCCTTGTGGGCCCCAGCTGAACTGGCACATCGAAGGTGACTCATTCACATGTCTGATGCTTTGGCAAGGACAGCTGGAAGGTTAGCTTCAGCTGAGATGCTCAGATAAATGAGACTTTCTCATAGTACTTTCTTGGGGCTTCTCCATCTTGACCTGGCTTCTCCATGTCATCTAGCCATGTGTGTCTGTAATAGGACAGCCAGACTTTCTACGTGCTTGACTCAGAGTTCCAAAAAGTGTAAAAGCAGAACCTGTAAGGCTTTCTCAAGGCTTAAGCCCAACTGGGAGAATATCACCTCAGTCACATTTTATTAGTT